TCATATACAAAAAAGATGTTCACAAGAAGTTTTATACTTTCTTGCTAATAAAGTCTTTATACTTTTATTAAAACAATTTAAAACTTATCTTTATTTATCTTTACTACTTTCCCTTATTTGTTTATAAACTCCTTTAAATAAAAACTTGGGTCTTTAATGACCTAAATAGACTCAAATATGTATTTCCTTTACTAAGAGCAAGAAGGTTCTAGGAAATAAAAAAACTAACAAGTGAAGTGTCACATTTAAAGAGTTAGAAGTGATAAGAAATAGAGATTTTGTTAATAGGAAAAGGCTTATTATTTACTTTTTTACATATTGTTTTGTATCCTCTTAATACTGTATATTTACTGTTTTTTATAATTTTCTTGGATGATTTCTCCTATTTCAATTTAATTCTAAATTTGTAATAGTACAATATCGCCTAATATCTGATTAGTTGATATAAAACAAATTAGTAACTAAATATAAACAAGTTTTTACTGGTCATCTTATGTATTTTAATGTCATTAATAATTAAAGAATTGATTAGTACCCTGTATCTGCTTCATTTTTCCAATTAGATTAATCTATAGATCAAGTTCTATAAAATCAATAAGATATAAGTAACAAGTTCTCAGATAATGAAAAAATTGCTATTTATTCAAGCTAAGATTTTTTTTTTTAATTTTGATTAGACAAAGTTTAAGACAAGAATTCCTATCACTTTTCAAAGCTCTTTTATTATTATAAGGTAAAAAAATAGATGGGGAATTTGATCTTTTAAATAATAGAAAATATATACCAGTAAAATTTCTTTAACTAGTCATGGCTACTGAAAAATATTATATTAAAACAAATGGTTCAGTTCTTATTGGATTACTTAAAAATCTAAAGTCTATTATAAGTCACTTCTCTATTATAGATGAATAAAAAATCACTACCTAAAGAAGATCATGACCAAGTATGTCCTGAAAATAAAGACTTCTATTAGGTAATAAGTCTCTTCGGATAGTATATAAGAAGAAAATCAAAATCAAGAATAGATAAATTCCTCAGATAGTCAAGAGAAGAAAGAATACTTAATCGAATATTTTTTATTAAGAAGAAGTCTTGAAAAATAAGTCTTTGGAGGAAGCTGGAAAATTTTTTTTCAAATTTTTACCTTTTTATTCTCTTATTATCTACTTAGATATTTTAGATATCCCATTTTTCTTTTTTCAACCCATCCTTTTGTAGTTTTCTATATTCTAGTGACTTGATATGACATACAGTAATAACAATCTATTGACAATAATGTAGTAAATTAAGAGAATTTTTATCCAAAGATACTATGAAACAAAATATTGTTTCCAAGGTTGAACTTAGAAGCTTTTATGCTCATAATGGGTTAGTTAAATTGGAATAATAGTTTAACTATAATATGTATTATGCTGTTCAAATAAAAATATACTTTTGTTTTTAATTAATTAGTAAACTAACGATTTAGCCTGGCTATGAGTACTCAAAAAAAAAAAAAATAAACATGTTTTTAAATAATTGAAAAAAAAATAGTATTTTAATAAAATATTATTCAAATAAATATATAGTATATACTTTATATTTTATTAATAAAATTATTGGTTGGTTTAATAAAAAACATTTTTATTTTTAATTTTTAAAAATAATAAACTTTTTTAAATAATAGTAATAAATTCTATAATATAGCTATATAATATATATAGGTTTCATAATTTTTATAAATATTTTATAACAAATATAATAAATATAACAATAATATAATTTGTTAATACTACTTATAACAATTAATTTTATATAATTATTATATTCTTTGAAATGAAAAATACAAATAATATTTATTAAAATAAAGAAAGTTCAAATTTATCAAGAATAAATTTAACATTAAGCATATATTGTATCGTATATTATTGAATAATTTGTTTTAATTTCATCTTTTACTATTAAATCAATGATTTTTTTGAGCAAGATTATTTTATACTATATCATTACAATTTTGCTGAAAATAATGCTTATCTTATTATTATAATATTGAAAATATTAGAATTATTAAACCTAATTTATTCATGTGTATTAATTGGTTTATATTAAATACACTTTCAAAGTTGTAAACAAACGTTTTTAATATATAAGGAAATAAATTTTCCAATTTTTTTTTGTTTCTTGGCGATCCGCATAAATATAGTAATTATCATCTCCGCCTAAAAAAGAAAATCAGAATTAAGTTAGAAATACTGGTTGGATAGCGTGGAAACCTCAGTTAAACGCTGCAAATGCGCCCGTGTTGATCGTTGTACTTTCACCACTTTTTCTTTAATGAAAAAAAAATTTTATTCAGGTGACAACCACCACATTGTTGATTCGCTACATTAGGAATTAGCAAACTTAAAATTAAACTAGCAACAAATACCTATTTGTTTATGAAGATCGAGGTTAAATTTGGAATGTTTGTTTGAGTTGCATATGGTTCGAAAGAATCCTTATTTATCTCGTTTTCCATTTTCAATCATCGGGAGTATCAGTTAATAGAGATCTTCACATCGACGATTTAAAGAACGCGGGCTATGATGCTATTTCTGCTCGTGTTCATAACGGGAAGTCAGAGATGCGAGGTCGTACAAAGGATACTACTCGTCGTTACTCACACCTGCCATATTTGTAATTTCCGCCGTCGAGGATGTCGCAAAATTCAACCGACTCGATTGTTCCTATTAGCTTGTGAATTACTTTGACGTAAGCAACTGAAAAAGATAGATATTTTTCGTGCGATGTACAGTACGTCACGAATTGGTCCTTTTGTTCCCGTGACAAAGTTTGGACCGAAAAGAGTTGGTGTATTTTTTGCACCTCTCATTAGCCTCCGATTTCTCTCTCTTGCTATCATCGGGATGTGGAACATCGCAAAATATCCAGCCATCCTAGGGGCTTTTAACCATCGGTTACTTCACCCGGAATGGTAGGTCAAGCTTTGAAGTTTTCGGCGGTGTTCTCTCGGCTGTCACAGGCGTGGAGGCGCTGTATGCCGATTTAGGTCATTTTAATCGCACCTCCATTCAGATTTCTTTCCCATTTTTTGTCTACCACCCCCTTAGTCCTAGCTTATATGGGGCAAGGATCCCGTCTTGTCTTAAATCCCAGTGTGGTCTCAAATATATTTTGGAAAATCTTACCAGCTTCTGATGGTCCCATCTATTGAATTGTATTCGTCTTGGTCACAATTACCACCAGAATCGCCTCTCAGGCCATTATCTCCGCTACCTTTTCGTTAGTCCATCAGGCAATACGGCTGGATTGTTTCCCCGGGGTCAAGGCATGCATTAACACGCATGTAATCGTATCATACAGTATATTTTTACGATGTATATTAACATACACGTGTCCAATTTCTAAAGATTGTGCACACTTCCAAGAAGGTTACGGGTCAAATTTATAAGGAAGATTTCGAATTTTTTCTGCGTAACTCAACAACCCGGCACTTATTGTTTTTGAATCAATTACGCTTTAATGATCATAACTGTGCTCATCATATTAATATTCAAGGTAAATTAAGACTTTCCACCAATTCGTTATTATTATTCTATCCTTATCTTTCGTTACAAGAATTCTTCAACCGACAGTATAATGCGTCTCTGTGCTATGGTTGATTGCTCGTTTGAATAGCATAGCGCAAGACTAACCGTGGCTTATGGCGAGTGAAGGTCTCTACTACAAATGATTTGATGCCGACATTTCTGTAATAATATGCATCAATATTCAACTTCATGATGTTATTCAAGTGCGGTTGTCGGTAACGTTTGTTCATATCGATGGTTCTTTCTTTATACCATTGTTGTGGTTCTCGTCTTCAAGCTTTCGATTTTCGTGGCGACCTGCTTCATTTTGGTGTTTGGACTCATCGACATTTCATTCCTGTGCATGGCCCTATTGAAGGTCTCGTCCGGCGGTTGGTTCACCTTGACCATTGACATTTTTCTGTGTCTTCTCATGTTATTGTGGAAGTGGGGAACAACATGCAAGGTTTAATTCGAGCTCAATCGCGGGATCAAACTCGGAGAGTTGTTCGATGACTTTATTCCAGACGAATCTTATTAGCACAAAATATTTGATCAATCGATCTTTTCTATCGAGAAACCGGCAGGAGAATTCCACTAACCTTCGGTCATTTTGTCCAACATTTTCCGATCATCGCCGAAACTTACAATCTGTTCCTATCGTTAGTGACGAATATCGTTCAGAAGATCGGAAATTACGAAGGCATTTATCGAGCAATCGCGAGGTATGGCTACACTGAGGATGTTTTTCAGGCTGAAGAATTTATCGAAAAATTGATTAAGGAAATTCGCAAGATTGATCCTTCCTATGCGATGAGTCGACGTATAATTGTTCCGAGACCAAATTCCGCGCATTACTGGGAATGATATACGCTTCTTCCTTGTGAACAATTCACGCCGGATGCATAGCGGATGGCACGTCCCACCCGAGGATTTCGCCCCCCGTTAGCGTAACAATTCCTCTTTAGAGGACGAATTCGTTGGCTAGCCTGCAAAGGAATGCACAAAGACTTTCCTTTTCCTTTATTCTGTTACTAGAAGTCTGTTGCGATAGCCCCAACTTCCGATGTCGATCGTATCATTTGTATAAATGAAAATCTAGATACGTATTGATTGAATCTTGATGTAACCCAAATCAAGTTTATACCTGATCCGACAAACCTATCCATTCCAAATATTCTTGTGCGCCATGTCATTTGTTTCCGCATAATTTTTGAGTCGGCCCATTTTTCAGACACCATCGCCGCAGGCATCCGTTTTGGAATAGGTCGAGCGCCTGTGACGAAACTTTACATACGCATACTAGATTTAAGGACTGCGCGCACGGGGGAGGGTATAAAAATAGGAAACAATAACATAAAGAGGAAACGTTACCGTTTCAAGGATGGGCTGGGCTTATGTGGTTGGGGAAACGTTATTGTCCGCAGTACCACACCAAATGACAAAGTATTTTGTTGTAGATGTCGACAGTGTGGCGGGAGAGACCGTATGACAAACATTCTTGACGAGGAAATTTTTGGCTTATCGACAATAGCCAAAGGTAAAGACAAAACCTGATTTAAAAGATCCTTTCCTATTACGTCCGGTGCATGGCTCATGCAGTTGGCGCATTTTTCCAATAGCAGATTAAGACATTCGATAATTCGAGCTTACCAAGATGTTATAGGGGGTTGAGATGATCATTATTAGGAGGGTACAGTCTAGAAACCAATGTCAATTTCCCATCTGATAGTATCACACACGAGATTTTTTTTCCTTTGACGAAGACCACCTTTTAACTTGGCGCTTAGTAAATTCTATACGAATCGAATTTATTTCGCCAAGTAATATTTTGCCAAGCTTAGGTGATACCATTTCTTTCTTCCTTTCTTATTTCCCGAGATTTTATTAGTCAACCGCCCATGTGCCAAGTGTGTGTGATATACCACGAATAGGACGAAGGTGAATAGTTCCTTAAGTAAGTTCTTTTTCAACCTATGGACAAACCTAAGTTACATCGAATGCTTGGTTATTGAAAAAGGAAGGATGTTGATTAGAGAAACAAGTCGTCTTGGTAATCAGGTTTTTATGCTGGGTTTTCGGCTTAGTCCCTGTAGTTGGGATGCATGGTTTTTTATGTTCGTTGCAAAAAATGAAAAAAAGTCTAGTAATTATGTCCAAATATGGAAATTCTCACTTTGTCTTTGCACACTAAACCTAATAAGTATCCATTCATATTAGGTGCATAAGAATGATCGACTTTCGGATCGGTTGGAATTTAGGAAGAAGTATTGTTGCGCATGCACTTACGTACTCTTTTCGGCCAGCTGGTGAAAAAAAAACCCCAGTACTCATATCATTGGAAACAATAATCAAATCATTTCTATTTTTTAATTTAGTTTATTTTTCCGTCGAGGTCTTCTATATGTGACAACGGGCGAAGGATTTGACCACTTTGCTCAAAAAGATTACATTTAATTTACCGTATAAAAGTCGTCGGGCACTTGGATTCTTTATAATGTTTCTATCTTAAACATCCGATTTATCACCAATTTTTCCGAGAGATAAAATGAAAAGTAGAGTCTATCACAACAAGAATCAGATATGAGTTACATACAGTACTTACCGTATACCGTATTTTAATAAAACTTTATTGACATCACATTCTAATTTCGGCAATCTGAATGTTCTGATGAGAATCCGAATGTCGGAGTTTTATAAATACCTGCTCATGGTTAAAGGAGATTAATTTTTTTTTTAAATAGCAACAACAACGGATTCCCACAATCCAAGCTACCTTAACTGACATTAAAAAAACTTTTGCTGACATTCCAGCATCGAACGCTAGCTATCGGTAAAAAGATGACGATAATCGGAATGCGTTTTTCCCCGAGCTTAACTTGGGATCGGGAGGGCTCGGTTAAGAGGTTTCATAAACGGATTCACGTGTTTGAATCTGTGGCTGCGTCAAAGGATGAGGGTATAACACGAGAATGCCATTGTTAACATCGGTTACCGTCGGGAGGGTATGAATTTAGGCATCGTTTCATCGTGTCATCCCAAACGATAATAATAGAATTAAAAATGTGTGTTCGCCCAGAGAAAGAAATTTAGGTTAACAATGAACTGTTTAACATGAAATACGTTTACTAAATTAAAATTATGCACCATATGATTTTCGTAGCCACTTTTTGGTGTTTCGTCTGAACGTCAAATGCCTTGTTATGATGCAAATGAATTTGGTCGTTCGGTTTTTCGGAAAAACCAAGATTTTCATAATCTATGAAAGGGCTTAATTAATTTGATAAAAAAAAATTTTTTTTTTGTGCATAAATCTATGAGTCAATAGACCACCGATGTTTCATCTTTGTGGGACCGTTCGATATTTGGTTTATTTGGGGGGACAGACCCCAAATCTAAAACTTGTCACATTCACCATCACATTGTGCGATCGCTAGAGATAATTGAGCACAGACAAAAGAATTGCGAGGGTGCTTTTCTGGGGGGGTCGACAAATGAAACCCTCTTTCTCCCTCTTTTTTTTTTTTCAGTTTCCGTCTAGATAAGAATTGGAATAATATACTACTGTACGCACATATTGTGTATATTTAAAATAAGCGCATATATTCTTGTGTAATTTACTTAAATACCCTTGAAAAACTTTAATGTTATAAAAGACGTCCAAAAATCCATCAAAGGAAAAAAAAAAAAAAATTTCTACTTTTCAAAAAAAATTCAAGTGCAAAGGTTCATCAAACGAAAAAAACAAAAGACAAATAACTCAAATACCTGAATCCTAGTTTTCATAAAACCTAAGAGGAAAAAACTCGAAAAGAAAAAAGGAAAGGATGACCGCAACAAAACCAAAATCTTCTTCTCAACAATGCGCTTCCCCATCTCAAAACGACCCACTAAAACGAACAAACTCCAATGGTTCAAATTCTATGACCAAGAAAACTCGAGGCCCCATCAACAAACGTGCTTGTCAACGTTGTCGTCAGGGAAAGATAAAGTGCGACGGAGATGCAGAGTTGGGCAAGCCTTGCTCAAATTGTGACCCGCAAAACTGCAAATACGACAATGCGCCAAGAAAGAACAAACAGGTCGAACAACTTAAACAGCGAATGGCCATTTTGGAGGAGCAGTTGGTCTCCATTGTCAAGGAACTTAACGAAAAGTTGTCCACAAAAGATCTTGAAATGGAAATTTTGTGTCAGCTTTGCGAATCGAAAGAACTCTTCAACGGCTCTGAAGTATTTTCAAGGTTAAAAAATGCCATAAAAAATGATAAACTACCCAAACAACTATTACTATTTACCCGCGAACTTCTGCAGCGGATGTCAAAAAATCACGAGAAAATTCCAGACATCATTGAAAGCTTACAACGGGTTGTCGAATGCGCAGAATATGATAAAGATCCAGCCGTCATATCAAATATTCCCACGGTGGACCAATATCGAAATGTTAATGGTCAATATGAGCTTGTTCCTCCGCCTTATGATCCATCCATCCTTTTGGCCGACGCAATGATCATAGCCGACAATTCCGTGAATCTTTCATCATCTTACGATGCGTGTGAAGGGATGACATGCCCAAATAGTCATTCGCCGTCGGATGACGGCTCAGAGACCATGAGTGTTGGATTTGGAAGCGGCAGTCCACCTACTCCTAACGAACAGCACTCGTTAGACGACGACTCGGAATCCTACAATAATAATTCATCGAGAACCTCCTCCACCCACCAAGTCTCTGCATCCCCCATGAGCGGGTTTTATTACAACACAAACTCTTATTATCCTTCAGATTACATAGATTACAACGGCACCTCTTATTACTTTGAAGCAACCAACACCACATCGCCTACAGATAGTTTTCTGTTATGAAGTCACTCTTATGCGTGATAAAATTCAAAAAACATCTTTTCTCTTTATGAAATGACTAAGGGTTTATGTAATTAACGCACGGTAGATATTATTATACACGTTATTATAAGCATTTTCACAATTTCAATCAAACTCCAAAAAAAAAAAAAAAAAAAAAAAAGACGAAAACTCGATAGATCAAACGCAGCCTACTTTTTTTTCTTCTTCCTCCATTAAAGAGGAAAAGGGCGGATGCGCAATAAAAAAGACAAACGGACATAAAACAACAACAACAACAACAACAAAAAGTCAATACGAAATTCCAATTCATATATACTTTGCTTTTTCTTTCTTTCTTTCTTTCTTTTTATTTATTTTTTTCCTTGACGAAATCTAATGAAAGCATAGCCGTGATATTTTGTATATATATACATATGTATTTAAAAAAAGAACTCTAAAGAAAAAAAAAAAAAAAACAATAAACAATTATCTCTTCTTTTTCTCTTGCATATAATGATAAATATAGAGGGGGCCTTTGACGTGAAAAAACGTTACGTTGATTTTCTATTTTAATGTACAGTATATTTCCCCTTTTGTCGTACCTTCCTGCTGCCATAAGAAGCTCTTGTGTACCAATCTGAATTTCTGAATAAAATCATTATTGGACAACCTTTTTTTTCTTCATGAATTCAACTAAGAACGATAAAACTTGCGTTAATAATCTGTGGTTCGTTTTGTTAAATATTCTAATATAAAATTGGCTTTGTGTATTAACTTTATGGTGGTATCATTAAAGGTTCTCGGCCGGTTACTGGCGTAAACCAGAACTGTTGGCGTCGTCAATAATCGGATTTGTCATTAAACGTCCTAATGGAATTCCAAATATGTACGCACGTCAAGCAATTTCTATGGTTCGTTCTTGAAGGTGCCCGAGACTATGATGTGAGTGTGTGTACTGTACAGTAGTAAAATGCAATAATGTGTATGACTAAAGAAAAAATGATTGTCACCCTTGAAGTGTCCATTGTGTCCTCAATAATGCTGTGCGTTTATTATCCTAGTACATATTTGTCTTTTTCAATTTATACAATCGGACTAGGTATAATGTATGCTGCACATTCGTAAAATTAGATCATTTCCTGATCTTTTTTATATCGCTTCCAAAAGGCTTCACTTTGCCCCAGCAACCCTGAAGGACCTTGAAAACTATTTGTCACGAACCGGTGATCTACAAGACAGTTATCCTAAATACGTATAGTAAAGACACGTACGCCAGCATTTCTCATTGACACCAACTCGTAGCTTCTTGCAAGCCAGCCCTATTTGCGGGCATCTCTTCTCCCCCCCCCCACCCCCTTGGTATGACATTGGATGACCGTGGCAGAAAAATGATTAGGGAGCCGATGGAAATTTTACGCAATTTATGATTATTGTTTCATGTTCATTGGAACATGAAAGCAATTAATCCATGCATCCTTTACCAATTTCAACACCCTATTCTTTTCCAAGTGCCAAAGGTGAATGGACGAATGGCGAAACTTGCTATTCAAAATATGTCAACGCTTTGGTGCAAGGCGGACTAAGTCAAAAAAGAAAAAAAAATGCATACACTTTTTATTATGGTTTAATAATGTCCATCACGAAAAGATTATGCTTCCTGCGATAAATCATCCAATCGCTGGCAAGTTGATTATGTCTGACAGGTCTAAAAATGGTATGCACTTTGTTTTTTACGTGGCACCACGTGCACGTGGTAGTGGTGGTGATGGTGGGGGGGGGGGGGGGGGAAGAGATCCCCGCAAATAGGGCGGGCTTGCAAAAAGCTACGGGTTGGGGTAAAGGAAAAAGGCGGGGGTCGGTGTTTTTCCTTTCCGTTTTTGGGATAATGGTTTTGT